TGAAGAAAGTTAACTCTGTCTCAGCTTTAACCCAGGACAGTGAGGCTGGAGAGAGAAAGAGGATACCAGGAGACCATAACAGGCTATTTCTCCTGAATGTACAGATTACTTGGGAGGTGCTGAAAGAAGTGCTTTTGGACCTGGGAAGCAGTTCAGAGTACAAGAGGTACATTCCATTTCTGTCTTACTCCCTCCTCGCACCCCACCCCAGGGCAGGTAAATGTTATTTGATAGCACTCCAAGCCATGAAAACCAGCAATGCTCCCTCAGCCATTGTTCACTAAACAAAATTTTACTACTGCACGCAACTACCATGCACATGCACATGCCAGCCAGTGTCTAACAGCAACTCTGAGCAGAACTACCTGTTGCTGTAAAGCAGCAGAGCTCTGCTGAGGTCACAGGTACTGCACCCCTGGGCACAGCCTTCTGTTCCTTGCACTGAACCTCCATCCTGCCACTCTGTTCCCCCTTGTGATCACCTTTCCACAGAGCTCACTGCCCACTCACTGCTGTCTTACACAAGAGCCTCAAGCTGCTTCTCATGATGGTCTGTTACTGTTCCTGTTAAATCTTTACAGCCTCTAAGAGCACAAGTTGTACAGGATGACCCCATTCTTTCGATACAGACTGTAGGGCAAGAATGTGGACATGCTGGCCTATGGCTTGAGTCCAAGGCTCTGAGCAAGACAGGCATTCATCAACTGGACCAGTCTTTCTGCCCCTGTGGCTGGGTTGTTGTGAGGTTAGGCAAGCATACAATTCAGGGAAGAATGTGAAGGCACGTGGAAGTACCCATCGAAGGCTTGGTGGCCATGTCCTGGTGACCAAGGGTACCTCTGAAGGGCTGAAGGTACCATGGTACTGTCTCCAAAGTCTGGGGTTGTTGGTATTGCACATGCCATGGGCTGATGATTGTCTTCCTCTGCATGGAAGTTCTGCCACAGGGAAAGGGCCCTGAATACTGACAGGATCCTCAGGAGACATGGAGAACATCTCCAGGAACAGAATGGAAATGAGGGATGTCATATAAGCATCCCTGATTCAATTCAGGCTTTAGGCAGTTCAAAATTGCAATGCTTTTAAAAAAAAAGAAAAATATGTGTTTTTCCACCATCACCCTGATTTTTTGGGATTCTTCAGTGTTTGGGCCATTTCTGCTGTTTCATGGACACAACTGCAGCTGGCAAAACCCCCCAAAGATGGATCTGGTTGGACTATGCAGAGCCATCCCCAGGTAGATTTAGGGTGCACCAAAGTGACAAGTGCTCTTTGGTCATCCTAGGGCCAGACAGCCTGGCCTCTCCTTCTTCTGTTTCAAAGAGAAGAAACATGGATAAATGCTCTTATTTCCTTAGTAGTCTGCCTAGTGAAAGGTGCTTCTCTCAGTTGTTGGAGCTCTTTCCAGGATGGAACTGAGTGTTATTCTCTCTTCCACCTGGGGAAAGCAGAATTTGGAAGAATTTCTGATTTGCCATCACTGGGGAAATACACTGTGTAAAAAGACTATGTCTTTATGGAGTTTAAATCCCCTGGTGTCATCAGTGATAGAGAATTGCTTCCCTGTGGCTGAACCACAAAAGGGTCTGAGCAAGCTCAGAGACATTGCCTCTGTTCACACAAACATATACTTTTATTCCATGGCAATAACACAGTACATCTTTCCTGCCTGGATAAATGGTTGTTTTCAGACTTTGTGACAGAAACAGAATGAGGGGAGACAGTGCAATTTCAGGTTAATGCCTGAAAAATGTCTCTGACAACACTGAGGCCTGGGACATGAGAGACTGGAGGATGTGCAGTGGGACTCCCAAGCCTGCCTGCGGCTGCTGTCCCTGCCAGGGGGACTGGTTGGAGCCCCCATCTCTCCCTGCCTTGCAGGGGTTCACGCTGCACATTGTTCAAGGGTCCTTGTCATCCAGCTGGGCTTCTCCAAACAAGTCATCCAGCCCCATTGCTCCTTCCTTGTAACTCAGGCAGAATTTGAACCAAAGCTCGTGTTTGGGGTGATGCCCAGAGCTAGTGGGGAAGTTCAGACCAGATCCATGCCTGAAAACCACTGCTCAGCGTGCCCCTCCACCGCACTGAAACCAAGCCCAGGTCCAGACACTGTGATCTCCCCAGAGCAGATGCTTCTCTCTGACCTTGGAGGTGGTCCTCAGCACTACGGGGGCTGCTCTGGGGTCAGCTCTGCGTGGGGCTGCAGCACTCCCCCACCCTTCTCCTTGCCATGTGCCTCAGTTTCCCTCCGAGCTCTGTGCAGAGCCATCTTCCCCTCAGAGGGTCGCAGGCACCCTCCCTCCCTTGGCCACCAGAACTCTGTTCCAGCCTGTCCCACCCCAGTGAGCACAGTGAAACCAGGAGGCAGAGAAACATGCATCTTACATAAGCCAGGCATTTAAGGGCTTTACACGTGAGAGTGGATTTTCCTAGTGGTGGGGGGTGAAGCCTAATAAGAAGCATGTGCACTGTGAGCCTTTCCAAGGCAGCGGAAAGAACCATGGTGAGAGCTGGCTTTAGCACTGGCCTGAGTTCAAGACAGTGACTGTGTTCAACGTTGCTTGTCTGCACCAACAAGGACATCCAGGACTGAAAACAACGTGGTCAGATGGAGGAAAGGCTTTGGAAGGATCACTGTGTGCTCCTCAACAAGGGTGAAGAAAATGAGCTGGTAAGGAGTGGGGGACCGCGCCGGGTTTTGCTTTCCTTGTGTGTGTCTTTTCCCACATGCCCATTTTGGACATGCTTCCACTGCTTCTTCACCTTCACTCCCCATTTGGGCACTGTCTCTTCAGCAGAGGCTTCGTGAAAGCAAACCCCTGGATCAGTCCTTGCTGGCTTTGAGATTGATTTTTGCAAAATAAGGGCTAAGTGAGGAACATACTACTTCAGTCCAGAGGCATGAAATATGGAAGAGACCTCTTTGCCCACCAGAAATCATCTGTCCAGGGAGCAGTGTCCCTTTCCTCACTGTCTGTTCTGTTGTCTTTTCCACCTTAACTAGGAGGATCCCCTTTCCCTTACTGGGTCATCATGTATCAGAAAGCAAGTCATAGGGAAAGTGCTTACAAATGAGTTTTATCCTGAACAATTATCTGGAGCCGGGAAAAAATCACTTCCAGAATGTAAGGGGCTTTGCTGATTAGCAGATCTAGGAAGAGTGGGCAGATGACCAAAGTCTATCACAACTCATATGGCAGAGATCCTTTGTTTTTCAGCCTATTAGTAGCTTTTATGGAGCCACTTTGTCCATACAAGGCTTTTTTTATTAATGTTAATTGAATCTAGTTTCTGTCTCTGATTGTGATTGATTATTGATTACGTGCAGCTGCCTGGAAGGGCTGCACTAAGTGAATACTTCGCAAACACAATGAGTTGGAAACTTTTCCTCTACCTGCTAACCTGGAGTGATTACAGAGTCTAGTGACAGTGGGAATAAGACTTTCTCCTCCAGCTGTCTGTGCAGGGAACAACTGTAATCCAGATAGTTCCAGTGTACCAGATGGGCACAGAAGTAGATGCCTCTGCACAGGTGTAAAATATAGCCCTGTCACTCAGTATTTGCTAGAGATATGTATGTCCTGCATGCACTGGAAGCACAGCAGCATGCTCCCCCAGGACAGTAGTCTCTGTCCTCTGCAAACAGAGCCTGCTAGCAGGTGCTTCCCAGCATCTCCGGTGTCAATGTTTGCCCAGCACTGAGGAAATGCCATGGGAATGCAGGTGCTGAGGGCATGCCCAGGTGGGAGAGATCTTGCCCTGCAGAGCACAGCTGCACCTCTGCATCAGGATCACTCACAGGTCTACTAATAGCGGTGGGGCTTCCATTTCCCTGGCTGCTTCTAGTAAATTCCCGCTGGGATTTGCTGCTGCTTATGGGGGC